GCACTTGTCCTTTAAAGTGGGTCAGTTTTCATTATTTTGATATGTCATTTTGTGCTATCTTTGACCTAGCATAAGTTCCAAACCAAACTAGATATTTACTTGAAATTTACATAGAATATAAAACAACAAATTGTCTATATAATGCATGCTTGTAAAGTTTGGGTTCTTGTTTCGTTGCTACGCACCTGTCCTTTAATGTAGGTCAGTTTTCATTATTTTGATAATATGTCATTTTGAGCTATCTTTGACCTAGCATAAGTTCCAAACCAAACTAGTTATTTACTTGAAAGTTACATAGAATATAAAACAACAAATTGTCTATGAAATGCATTCTTGCAAAGTTTGCGTTCTTGTTTCATTGCTACGCACTTGTCCTTTAAAGTGGGTCAGTTTTCATTATTTTGATAATATGTCATTTTGTGCTATTTTTGAACTGACATAAGTTCCAAACCAAACTAGTTCTGTACTTGAAATTTATTTACAACATAAAACAATATGTACTCTGTGGAATGCGTACTTGCAAAGTCTGGGTTCTTGTTTTGCTGCTACACACTTGTCCCTGAAGAAGGGGCAATTTGCATATTTTCATGTCATCTTGTCCTATCTTTTGACTCTCATAAGTCTCAACAGTAAACTGTTTTGCTATTTAAATTTACACTGAATGTAAACCTATATATTGTCTATGAAATGCATGTTTGCATAGGTCAGATTCCTGTGTTCTAGTGGCTGTACCTGTCCCTGAAAGTAGGCCATATTTTTCACTTGTCCACTAATGCAAAATATTGGCTATCTTTGGGAGTCTAATATGAAAAAGGAAAGGTTTTAATTCTTCTATCTCTAATTTTGCCAGATCTATGCCTTGGGTTGTTTATGAAATAGTTCGCACCAACGTTTGCATGATATAGTTGTAGCAATGTGGCTGTTATTGAATGTATGCCATTTTATCTTAATTTGATGATAACAGTCTTATACAGTCATATTTAGCGACAAATGTTAGGACACAAATTGAATGAGGTGACACAAATTAACAAGCAAGAAATCTTTTATTCATCATCAAAACAGCAATGAATCAGGTGGAACAGCAGTTGTCGTCCTGTCCTGTTTCTTTCATGCACATTTTTGCAGGCCTGCAGAAACAAAGCATGTGCTCTGTACCCATTTCGCGTTAAGGGTTTCACATCAATCTAACGATTTGCGGCACTGTCGTGACTCTTTGGTCATAGTTACAGGAAGCGGAATTTCTTGGTTTTTTTTCTAGGAACAAGCCAAAATCAATGCGCGCGCGGACGTCATCCATAAAATTTACTTGGTGTGGCCTTATGTTAGTTTAAAGATAGCACAAAATGACATATCATCAAAATAACGAAAACTGACCTACTTTAAAGGACAAGTGCGTAGCAACGAAACAAGAACCCAAACTTTGCAAGCATGCATCTGATACCTCTGGAGTGGTTTATTATGCAGTGTAAATTTCAAGCAAAACATCCTCCCCTTTTGGGATTTACAGTGCTTCAAAGTTGGGCAAAATTTCAGTTTTTTTACACCCTTAAAACAGTGCATTGTATTCAGAGTGCCCAAGACCTCAGATTTTACTGAACATTGGCTTTACTGCTATTTTATACAAGTTTAGGCATTGCTCTGATCAGCACATCTTGCTCTTGTCGTTACGCTAAAGCACTGATCAGTTATAGTGCCCTAAAGTTAGCCAATTTCTATGTTTTGTACATGCCAAAATCTGGGAAAATGCCCTAAAAACTTCTTTGGCCCGTTGCCATGGCAACAAGGGGTTCTGAGCAAAAAGAAAGCTATTCTGAGGGGTTATGTACCAAGTACTATCACTGTGCAAAAAATGAGCCAAATCGATTTTTTGACCGGTGCCACCATTGTTTGATCCTTACAGACATTCGCTCATAATATGTTAACAGGGATGCGTACGATACAAGAAGAAATAAAGTATCTTTCATAGTGAATGGCTCATAGATCTATTTCCATTTTTATCTGGGAAATACATGATTTTTAATATTATTAAGAACACTCCTACCATGAAGATGTAAAATGTACTTACGGCGAGTCCTTGAACTCAAACACTCTCCCTGGTGCCTCTCCTGCCAGAGGCTGGTTGTAACACTTGTTGTCAAAGTTACAGATCAGAGTCTGCATGAAGGGGATAAGTCCGGCTGATGGCAGGGG